TCGACTTGTTAGCCTTATACGAGCAACGCGTTCATATTTTATGATTATTGTATGTGTAAAAACGCCATGAACATAAAAGTTCTTTAGATAGTATTGTTTTGATGTTAACTGTCTCGATATGTTATGTCTTTTAAGGTAATGCAATGAAGATTATTTATTTAACCGTTGTAAAAATAACATAATTATTTGAATATAAAATTTTCAAAACTAAGTGCAGAAAACTTGGGTTTAACAAAAACACGTAATGCTTACCAGTTTCGTATAATTAAACTGCAGTTTATTTGATGCTATAATATTATGAAATATTCGTCACATATCTGTACATGTAAAAAAACTTTCTAGTAATACTCCATAAAACACACTATTATTAATGGAATCTGTTATAAGCAATAATCTTTGTATAATAACATTTTAATATTGATTGTTAGTTAATCCATGATTAAGTGTTAGTTAGAGAATTGTGAGGCATCGGCCGCGTTGCGCAATGACTCTATATAAACACATGTGGCCAGAACTAGAGCAAAAGCTTACTTGTCGAGTGTACTGATGTTATAAATCCAATATAATTTATTTCTCTAAATTATTTTCACTATAATAATTTATTACTTAAAACAAATTTAACAATTTTCATTGAAAATCTAGAAACAAATACAGCTGTACAAGCTGCACACAAATAAGTGCATGTCATATTCAATTAAATTTAGTTACAAAAAGTGAGAAGTATCTCAGCAGTACTTTGACTTCATGAAATTGATTTTTTACATGATAATAAAACTATTTGAACAGGATATGGTAGTGGTGTGCAGTAAATGTATTAGCTATAAACCTAAGGCGTAACTCCCAGTTAGATGTCGGTGCAGCCGAGCGCAGTGCATCGCCCGCGTTGCGCAACTCGCCTATTTATACCGCCCTCTGACTAACATCTCCGGAACTTGGGAAAGTTTGCATATTTCAGCTTCCTTGATCCACAATCGAGTCTTTGTTGGATGTATTCTCGTCTATTTGGTCAATATTTAATTATATAAGAGTATTTAAAACGAAAATCAGGGACTATTCCCGTGTTAATTGTAAGACTACTACTAATTTCTTAAAAAAATATAAACAGTATGTTTAACTAATAATTAATTCTATTTAATATATAATATTGAAATTTCATTGTGAATTCGCAAAACAAAAATGATATATTTATTAAAATAAAGTAGATAAATGCAAAATTATTTGATGTAATACAAAAACCATTTTTCTCAAATCATTATTTAACCGATTGCGTGCCTGTAACTTGCCGTCCAAGAGATTGCACAATCCCTTCAGCAACTAGGAAGTGCACCTACGCATTGTTCAACACAATTGTTTTCCCATTTTCATGCGCGTTCGCCCGCGGGCGTCGCTCCCGCTGATGACCGCCGGCGACCGTGCGTCGACCTCGCCCGCCGTCGTCCAACTGCGATATCGCATGTTTTCACGCCATCGCGATTCCAAATTCAAATCGCGATTTTTTTCAGTATAGATGCTCATTTTGATTAAAGACTAATTATATTCAGTCTTGTGCTGTGGGAACTGTGCCTTAAATTTTTTTGCGGGAGTGTGTCTATGGCTTTATATTTTCACGTAGTCATAATGTAAATACTGCTTTTTATTTACAACGAATAAAATCGATAGTATATTTTTAGAATATCGAATACAGCTTTTCTCTTTTTGTCAAATGAAGTATCTAAATGTTATATTATTTTAAAATATAATGAATTTCATGAACATCATAAAGCGAGAGTCACGAAAGATTACAAAAGTGTGTTAAAATCCGAGATAAAAATATGTATTAGGTGTTTAGGTCTATTTTTATATATTCCGTAGTAGAGACAATGTACGCGGGTGCGTCGCCCTGGCGGAGGTCCAATAACCTAAGATTTGGGGGTGGAAAGCGATATGTCAACATTTGTAAGAAATAAGTCACTAATTGAAGATATTGATTTATACTCATCGTGTATTCTATAACAAATGGTTATTGTTTACGTTAGTAGGTATAACATTTTTGATTTGAAGAAAATTTATGAAAATGGATATGATTTTATTCATAGAGTTTTTATAACATTTTAAAAAATATTAAAAAAAAAACGTCGATAAAAAGTATTCTTTGTATTAACCCTGCTTATAAGCAAAGAGCTTATACATCATCATTCCGAATCTCAAACTGGTTGTGTCAAAATTAACAAGCTTTGTGCTTTTTTGCAACTCACGAACGTTAGTAGATACTTATAATAGTGTAATGAGTTAAATAAAAAAAGTTATATGATTAATATCCGAATAACTTACTCCTAGTAACACTATTAATGATTTTTTTGTGTATTTGGTAGGTATGAGAATAGGTCGTAGAGTATTTTTCACACGCCTACCACCACCCCCTCTTTTTTAATCGAAATTTTAGTATTTTTGTATAAACAATCCATACTATTTAATTTACTTTTTAATATTTTCAATGTGAAAGTGATATAAAGCTAAAGAGCTTTTTTATAGATTGAACGCGGGCGTAGCCGCGGGTTCTGCTAGTAATTTTATAAAAGCATCTAAAAATACTTAAGATTTCCTATACTCAAAGGTTTGATTTACTTAAACATTTTCATGTGGCGCCATTACTTTATTATAACATTTAAACAATTCATAAGACCAATTGCGTATAATCGATAACTAGAAAAAGCGCGGGAAAATATAGCCATTCGTCTTTTTTTATATTCTTACTAGCACAGATTGCAAAAAAATATTATTCAATATTCAATCATTAATTATGTTCATGTATGTCACTTAAATGTATTGTTTTTAGAAAGTGTCGGTTCTTATGTGTTAATTACTCGCATCAAGAGAGTTGACTTCAAAGGATAAGAAAAAGATTATTTAGCTAAAGTATTGTAAAACTAACGACTCGCCCTCGCTTTGCAACTATACCTAGTATATGATGATAGTCTATAGCCTTCCTCAATAAATGGGCTATCTAATGCAAAAATATTTTTTCAAATCAGATCAATAGTTCCTGAGATTAGCGCGTTCAAACAAAGAAACAAACAAACAGATAGACAAACATTATCTTCTCACTAATAACATTTTTCATTTTAATTACTTTTAGTAAATTTTCAACTGTACGTAATATTGTTGTTAATACTAAAATGCACTTGGAATATATTTTACAATTATCCTTCATACACTGAAAATGAAGTGGATGTTATTAAATAAAGTGGATGGTATTGTAACATGCAATGTAATCGCTTACAACGGCGAATCACGAACCGTCTTAACATTTAATTTTTTTTTGAAAAATAAAGCAATATAGTAAATAGGATAAAGATATTTATTTTCTTTCTATAAAATACATATATAAACTTTTTAAAGCAGATCGCTTCAACGCCTTAAGCTAACATACCTACAAACACTATATGAAAAATCGGTCAAGTGCGAATCAAATCGCACACGAAGGGTTCCGTTCATGTACTTTTTATTAAAATGACTTTTACTCTATACACATATTATGTAGTATATTAGCTTCGATTATCGATTGCAAACGTTCAAAAAAGGTTTTTTGTATATTTATTTATTTTTATTATTTGTTGTTATAGCGGCAATAGAAATACATACTCTGCCAAAATGTCCACTCTCTACCTATTACGGTTTATGAGATACCGACAGACGGACGGACGAAGAGCGGGGGCATAGTAAATAGGTATCCGCCGGCACCCTTGGGTTACGGAACCCTAATAAAAAAACCCACTAAGTTTTTACTTACTACTAACAGATTACTTTATAACAACATAGGAATTCTGATATAAATTATAATTTTACTAAAACGCGTAAAATGTGGACTTTCCATTTAAATGTTATAATAACTTAAGCAACACGGAAACAATTCATCTCATAAATAAATTGCATCAAGAGACCTACTAATTGCTTTATTGCTACAAACAGCTAATAAAATAATATACATAATATATTTAATTTAATTAGACATAAAAAGTAAACGATGTCCTCTATTCAGTCGGAGATCGTGGGTTTGATTCCCATACAAGTTAAATATTAGCTGCATTCAGTAAAAGTTGCTAAAATAAGTAAAAATTAAAAAATATATATTAAAGAGTGCATATTTCAATGCGTACACGCGCAAGAAGTGAAACTTCTGTAGGTTATCGATACTTTTTATGAAATTTAGTTTATGTTTTAAATAATTAGGATAGGAGAGATCCTAAAAAATTTTTTTTTATCGATTTAAAAAAAACAGATACATTATCTATTTTTTTTTAAATATTAAAAACAATTAGAGTAATATTAAACTTAACAGAGATGATTTACAATAAATACTATAGTTGCAATATAATACATACTTTTTAACCGACTTCCAAAAAAGGTTCAGAGGAGGTTCTCAATTCGTCGGAATCTTTTTTCTTAATAACCTTAATAACGTGGAGAATTTACTTTCTAAAAGGAACTTATTTTATTTAAAAATATCTTTCTCTAGTGACTTACCCTCGATTCGCTCGCTCACGTCCATGGGTGCCTTTTGTATTTACAATACGAACAACGCTAACTTTTATTACAATTTACGCATATTTTATTACAATTTATATTATAGAAAATATATTAACAAATAGTAACAAATAGTGATGAGCACAAATGTTTGTACTCCAGTCAAGGTTCTTTATATTTATAATATGTATGTATTTAAAGTTATATATGTGTAGTGTATGAACTATCTGGTATCCATAACACAAACCTCGTAGCTTACCATGGAACTAGATGGTGCTGTGTGTTAATGTCCCAACATATTTATTTATTTATGTGAGACTCCAATCGTAGTCTATCTGTGCACTAAGTCTCAGCCAAATGTGTTCAGCCGTTGCAGAGCAACGAACACAAACATACAAATTCAATTCTTCTCATTTACATAGTGTGATGAATCAGATTTAAATACAACATCAGCCTTATTTTCCAAATCTAGACTCTCAAATGAATTATAATATCTATCGTTCAAATATATTAATAAGAACCACGTGTTCTCCCCTAATTAAGATTTGTGGTAAAAATCTAGTGCATTCTAATATACCGCCTCCTACAGGAGTCTCGGTGACTACAGGAACTGCTGATATCGCGGCGGCAGAGCCTTTAGGTACCGGAGTGCCTGGAAAAAATCAATATTTTAATACTATTTAAAATAAAAGCAATTATAATATCCTAAAAATTTTTTTTCTTGGTACATCTACTAATATTATTAAAACTATGTATGCTACACAAATACCAAACGTACATGCGATCTAATAAAGTACTTCCTTTTTTTGAAGTCGGTCAAAATTGCTTATACCATTTTCTTTAATATACTGAACGTTTGTAAACTTTCACAAATTTATAAAGTCTTCATTATATATAGAAATCATTTTCTTTCTAAATTATAATGTAAAATAATTTTTTTTAACTGTTCATAAAAGTCCATATATTTGGCATAATTTATTAATAATTAATTAATCTACGTACATATATAACTATCAGTAATATTTGAACGCTCTTACCCAATCCCGGTGGGATCTTTCTCTTCTTGGGAGCTTTTCGCTTCCAAATCTCCAGTACATCTGACAGAGCAAGGTTCCACTGCTTGTCGAAAGCCACAAGGGTTGCATGAAGAACACCGCGGATACCATTCGCGTTACGAGTTATTACCTGTCAATTAGTAAAAAATAATATTAAAAAAATACTGCTGAGCATAGACCTCCCTTTCGGTGGGTTCGAGATACTTTAATCGAGTCGTCGGTCCACCTTATGCGATGTGGTGGCTTGCCAACGCCGATTTAAGCCCACTGCACATTTAAGAGGGAAGCCCCTTTCGGGTAATTAAAAAAATTGTATATGGGAAAACGGAAAATTACATCATACTAATTAAATATCGACTAGTTGTCGCTCGCGGTATTTCTCGCGTGATGTGTTGTCAAAAAAGGATACTTAGCAGATAGGGGTGCTAAAATTTTCTATCAGTGCCTTTTTGATATCATTTCTATAGTTCCTGTGATTATCCCTTACGCGCAAACAGATTCAATTTTAAAAGTACTTTTTTCTCTTTATAAAGTTAACTAATTTTTCATAACTTACGTTGTTGCATAATTTTTATATCGAACTTGCTCGAAACGTCTCTACATATTTCATATTTGTAATGCCGCTATGCTTAATCATAATAATCAATTATACCGGTAATTTTTTTTTAAGATAAACAGTTAACAATAAAACGAAATGTAAACATTTAATCCTTTGTTTACTGGTAGGTTTAACCGAACCGTAACTAACTATTGTAGAAAATTGAACGTCACACAAGTTATCCTAGTATTATTGCCCGTTCATATACAGGATGGAACAAATGCAACAAATATTGAAGTTACCAAATATTACTCAAAGGAGACATTATCTTATCTGGGCAGGTGATCGAACCAATCATAAACACAGTAAAATACACCATCTTCACTATTATAGTGATCTAATCGATAGAGTCTATGGTACAGTACGGTAGGTTAGCTTTTTAAAAAAATAATCAAATACAGTTATTATTATTTTTTTAAATAAAGGAATGTTTTCTTTGAGTAAAACTTGATGAGTTCAATATTTAAAGTATTTTTCTTCTAAGTCCCATCCATTTGTTTCAACCTGTATACTCGTACTCATAAGTGCACTTTACGATGAGGTGTGCACTGGATGCGGCTTGTTTGAACTCGACAAAGCTTATTACACTGTAGTAATCTGTATACATCGTAATCACGTGACATTACACTAGATTAATATCTTCGAGTTTGTTCTAGAAAATTATAGTTCTAGCCTTCTAATTAGACTATTAAAGTATTTTTATAATAATCCCAATAATTAATAATATAATATTATAAATGCGAAAGTTTGGATGTATGTTTGTTACTCAATAAAATGACAACAAACACGAGATAGATTACAGTCTGGAATAGCACATAGGTTACTTTTTATCCCGGAAAAATGTACGGTTCCCGTGAGAGAGATCTTTTTTTTTTCACTTGGGACGAACCCGAGGGAAGCGATGTGAGTCGCTAGTGTTGCTACTAAAACGTTAGTTTAAATGAAGCACGTCCATTCTCAAATGATGTTTTAATGAAAATCATTATGTATTTTTATATTTATTGTTAACTATTGTTATTTGTAAAACTAATATTATGTATCTTTGTTTCAGGATTCGCGAATGATCTGAGGATTCTGCCAAATGTGTTCAAATGAAATACTGCCTTCCATTTTATACATCAATATTTTAAGAAAAGTAAGTAAAACTAGAGTATAATCGAATGATTTATAATTAAAACAAATTATACTTCGAAAAAAAAATTACAGCACGTACGAATTTTTTAAACCCTCGCAAGTTTTAACAAGTCGCGTTTTCTTTAATTTTGGGAGTAACTTCTTGTGACTTTTGTTTGAAATAATATAAATAGGTGTGACATTTAGCTGTAGCCTTGAATTACTTAATGACATCGAATGCACCACTTATATCTTCTGAGAAACTAGCCTGCGCAGACGAGTCAATATCCGTAACAAGAATTTTTATTTAAACAACCTATATTTAAGACTATCAAGACTCGTTCACAAAAAAAAATGTAGTCCTTGATGGCTGGAAAAAGAGGGGTTGTCCAGTCAATAAAATTACATATTATACTAATCTTATAAAGATGTAAAGTTTGTGAGTTTGTGAGGTTGTAAGGGATAATCTCTGGATCTACTGAACTGATTTAGATGAAACTTGGTAAAAAGATAGTTTGAGACCCTGCGAAGGACATAGGATTCTTTTCATCCCGGAAATCATCCTTTAAGGGAGTGAAAATTGGGATGAAAGTTTGTGTTGGGAAGCAAGCTAGGGACGAACCTGAGCGAAGCGACGGTGAGTCGCAAGTCTTTCTATATATATTAAAATCAATTCCACTTTTTTGTTTTGTTGGGGGAGTGTCAGGGGTGTTTGAGTATAAAAAATAGGGAAAACCCATAAGAAAAACTGGAAAATCGAAAAGTTCAGAACTGTTTATTTTGTATGGAAAACACTACTTCGGATTACTTTCAATAGTGGCGGACCTACCATCTATAACAATGCGTCAAGTTTAAGTTGGAAAAAATTAATATATGTATATAAAATATAGTCTATCTATTCTATAATAACCGTTAAAACGTATCTAGGGACGAACCCGAGAGAAGCCGCTATTCTTTACATAAATATGCAAAGACAAAAAAGTTCAGTAACTTTTTCTCCTCTTTATCGACCGATTTTCTTTTGTGTTTAGTTGCTACTGACGACGAGTTGCTATTGAAATTTTGGAAACACTTCTATTTTTTTATATAGATAGGTAAATTCTATTCATCATAATTTTTCCTCAAATTTTCAATAATGATTATAGTTGAATTTCGACCACTGGGCGAACAATAAGCATAATTTAATTATATCAATTTTTGTTCTGTTTCATCACCAACGGAATACTAAATAGAAATTAATGTAGTATAGTTACCCATTGAAATGAAAATGTTTAAATTTTATTTTTTTAAAGGTTGGGAAATAAAAAAAACGTGTGTGTGTAGGTATGTACGCACGTAAGAAGTCATATTTCTTGGGCGGAACAGAACATAATTGCTAAAGATTTCATCCCGTATGTCACAACTCTCTGTTTGTAAAAGGAATGATATACATATTAATAAAATAAGTATATTAGGCACATCATATATTTATAGAATATCATTTAAGGAAGAATTGTAATATTATATATCATTTGTCAGACAAGAACAACGGTTACCATGGCAACAAACAGTTATCAGCTAACTTCATCATGTCGCTATTTGGCTGTCGGTGTGCGCGCCCATCGTAAAAATTTTACTCTCATAATTTTTTCCAAACATTCCAAAAGAACTATAACTTCAAAAAATGGGAAAGATATCTACGCTAGTAGCGTTCTCACGGATATACAATAGTGACGTTTAATTTAATGTAAAGATTTACGATTAAAAAGGACTGTAAAAATCTATTTAAATTAAATATATATTTTTATTCTATTTGTAACATACGCCTTATTTATTACTAATAACATTATTACTTTCGTTAGAATGATTATCGATTATTATTAATGGTTTTAATTATGCCACTAAAGAAAATCTATTGTAGCGTGTTATTAATTTATTAAGCTTATTGCAACATTACATTAATAGAAATATATTTATAGTACTTTAATTAATGGACCGAATCATGGCTAAGTTTAGATTAAATTGGTCTACAGATACAGTTTGAGAGCTCCAATATGGACTAAATAGGATTAGCAGCTAGTGAGTAATACATCGTTTAGTTTATATTCGAATAATGAAAATAGTTTCGTTTTGTCATTTGGCACTCGTACCTCATATGAAAATAAACATTTTAAAAATATTTTCGGCACAAATCGTGTACAGCCTTCAGAAGCGATTCCATTAAGAGCTATTAAGTAGGTGTTGATTACAAAATAAATATATAACCCTCGGAAATAACCAATATGAAACGTAATGTTGATTATCCAAATTTTGAAATGATGATATTGACCATGACATGTATGTATGTATGTATGTATTCAGCCCTTTTTAACGTCCCACTGCTGGGCACGGGCCTCCCTTCAATACGAGGGGATCAGGCCATAGTCCACCACGCTGGCCAAGTGCGGGTTGGCGGACTTCACATGTCTTTCGAAAACTCGCTAGGTTCTCTCAGACATGCAGGTTTCCTCACGATGTTTTCCTTCACCGTAAGGCAAGTGGTCATCATGTTAGAAATGATTCGCACATGAAAATATCAGAGGTGCGAGACCCGGGATTTGAACCCGCATCACTACAGAGGAAAATTCCAAAAAAAACCTACTTGAAACATGAAAAAATCCAGATGTCCAAAATGTGAATAGAATAACAGTAGACGGCATGAAGGATATCACCCGCTTCTAAACTGACCTATAATTCAATCAATCGTATATACATCTAACACACCCGTATATTTACCGCGTAACCTCGAGCGCGGCCGACTCAATTCGTAAGTACTCAGCCAAGGTACGACCGAAAACGACTCATATATATATAGCATGAATTTTTCCACTGGACTTGATATTTGAATACACTTAAGAGTTGAGGAAGATCAGTTTACAAACAAGAGAAGGTCAACTACTAGATAAGTGTAAAAAGGGACACATGAAGATGGAATGAAAATGTTGATGTAATCAAATGAACTTGAAATGATAAGATTGATGACGTAACTGACATCGATATAGCTTGGGTACAATAATTACTGTACGTACAGAATCAATTAATTATTATAGTAACATTATTTTTAATTACGTACGTATTTTAGTAGTTGCAGAAGAACATAAAAATTAGATCGACAATACTAATACTTCAATTATCGTTTGACCTTCCCAAATTGTTAAAAAAACACTATCGAGCAAGGTCCAAAAAAGGGAACCCGCATATACACACGGTGATATAAAAATGGCGCTGTGTTTTCCGGGTGGAAAGTTGTTCTGAACAAGGTCGGAGGCGAGGGCGCTCCACTCAGCATGGCACGTCGCATCTACTGTTGCATATAAGTTTGCGTTGATCTAAATATAAAGTTATAATTTAAAAAAAAATGTAAAAAATATCTAAATGCCTAACTTTACGTTACTATTATAGTATTTTTAAATAATTTAAACGATTAACAGTTTCTCAATGTGTATTACGACGTTGTGATTAGAACAAAAGAAACTTATATAATGGCAACATCAGATATATTATTCTATATTAATAATCTCGTCATAAGCTAGCTACATCTCCAGATTTTTTTTCACTTTAAAATTATTTATTTTCACTTTACATTATCTACATATCCTGAAAAGTTTTGGAAACTTTGAATCTGCTGTTAATAATATTTTAAGAATTGTAAAGTCATTTTAGAAGAATTCTCTTTGTGTAGGATTCAAGGTAAATTTTAATGGAATGGGTGCGTAAGCTTGACATATTAAAAAAACGTTTTAAAGATAAGACTGTTTATGTCAGTATTTTAAGAACCAACATTTAAAAGTTCAGGATATTATTATTGATGTTTAACTTTTCCCAGATTCATTGATAACGGTATCCAATTTACTTCAAAATTGGCTATAGAGGATGTAAAAAATCCTGTTATTGGAGCCTAAAATATGCCCTTACGTATGACGTTTGCGACCTTAAGGCCAGTAGGCGGGACGTCCCTTCACCTGCACTTTGTCGACAATTGCGCATGTCCCGCTGTTGATTGTAAAATTGCATCTCAATGCTCTTCCTACATGTTCCCACACCAATGCGACCTCTGGATAGAGCTGACGTAACGTTACGCTATAAATATTCTCATATTTGCCATGGAATTTATTGATGCATTTGATTCTGCATTGAGAATATCTAGAATATTCCGCTCGTGGAAACATTCAAACCACAATATGTAAATGTATTTGGATGAACGTTTTCCGAAAATATATTGTAATTAACTGTCTCTTATTGAAAAGCAATTCAGCCGAACATAATTACTATAATTGAGCTTTTAAAACTGAATTTATCAGTAGACATATTTTTATTACAAAGACATTGTTTTCGAACCTACTTCCAAAACTAGAAAATTGTTATTTTAATAACAGTATGTACACAATTAATAGTGTCAATTAAAAAAATATAAATTGCTACATAGCTTCTTATATACATTTTTGCAAAGTTTCATCATTTAATTACAAGTGGATTCAACAACTAATGATGTTCCTGATTGAGTGTTTTCCGATGTCGCCACTAGGAAATAGTAAGTTGTTTGTTATTGATGTTAACAAACAGAGGACGTTTGCTGTCGTGAGGTCAATGCCGATTAAACTAGTATCGATACTTGATAGATAATATGAAATTAAAAGTCTGAAATTGTAATCGCTACTAATATAAATGTAAATTTTTATACGTGTATGCATGTTTGTTACTCCATTATACTTAGACGACTGGTCAGATGTGGATACAATTTAGTACAAAAATTTGCCAAAAAGTGGCGCTAATCGTTTGTCGAAGCATGATTAGATACGTGAGACGCATACGAGCTAGGTTAACTTAATAATAATGTGTACGCTTCCAAATTTCTTATATTACTATTTAACATAAATTTAATTATTTTCTAGAAGTATTATTCCTAGAAATATCATGTACATTAGTATATATTTATTAGCAAATGTTAACAAGATCGAAAAATATTTTAAGCTCGCACAATTACATAAGTAGCTGTTTGATTAACTGTTATATCACATCGTATAATCTACGTGGTCACTGGACCGCGCCCAGCGCCCTTCGCCTTGGCACTATGAGCCAAGTATGCTAAGTAGGGCTGTCCAACACAAAAAGATCTTTTTATATTCCAAAACTTTGCCAAAATATTATAAAAAACAATAAGTACTATCTAAAATAATAGAGAAAGCGCTGTGTTGAAAAAAGAGAAATATAGTTCGATCTATCTCTTCTTAGATAAATATAATAATTTAATTAAGTAGCCGTTATTACTGAGAATATTACATAGATATTTTAAATACGAATCTTAAAAAACTAAAACTAAAAAAAATTATAACCGCTACTTATATAATAATATCTCTTAATTCAGTTGGCCTCTTGGCTAAGGTCTTCTCTGTTTCTCTTCTTCTTCTCTTCTTCTCACCATTGGGTCTTGTACCTTATACTCTTCTCCTGTACGGTGCCCTGTCATTTTAATTACATCTTTCCATCTTCTAGGTTGTTCGCCTCTATTTCTTTTTGAGTCTCTGGAACACCAATTTATGACCTCGACTCCATTTTTCCACCTGTGAGCGCGAAATGGAAATGGACTGGATATATATCCAGTCCATTTCCATTTACCATGGTCTGGTCAACCAGAAGAGATCAATCTCTTCTAAAAATACAATATGGTCAAAATCAACGTTACACGTGGACTGTTATTCACAAATGTTCTAATTAGTGTGATCTATGGCTACGTCACATTACAGCTTGGGCTATGTACTTGTTCTTATTGGCCTTCGACGTGGCATTTTTATGTGGTATTTTGATGGCAACTAATAACCCAACATTGTTACATTGCTTCAAATGAAAATTAACTCCTACAGGTAAATTTCTAGGAAATTAATTAAATTTCTAATAAATTAATTGTTAACTGTAACACCGGTGTGCCCGCGGTCGTTGAGGGATTAATAGTGGAGTAAGGATTTTTTATTATTATTGTTTTATTGTAATATTATTATTAGATATATACTTTGACAAGTCTTTATAATAATTAGTTTCCGCCCAGTGTCCGAAGTTGGCCCATAATTATATAAAAAAGCTTCCCAAAATCGTCAATAGCCCCTAAATAAAATAAAATCGATTGACAAACAAAGGAGGAAAAGGTACTGAACTGTTTTGTCTTTGCTTATTTATCTACACATATAATAAAATTCTAACTAAGCTGAATCTGTACATTAAATATTTTTTGAAAAAATCTTATTGAAATAGACATTATTATCGATATAGAGGCCGAATCTATAGTTTTTAGAATTTTTGTCTGTCTGTTACCGCATCACGAAAAAACCACAGGAGGGATTTTGATGAGGGAATTTGATATGGTGATAGCTGGTTATCCGGGTCAACATATAGAATACTTTTTACCGCGGAAAAATGTCTCATTTCTGAGAAGAAATACAAAAACTGCAATGTAAGGGTATACTAATATGTAAAACCTAAGAATTTGGTTTTTGGTCATCTAAACGCGGGCGGAGCCGCGGGCAGTGCTAGTATTGTATATATTTCTTATTCAAAATATAATTGATTGATTGATATTTTGTCAACAAATAACAATGTCCTATATTGTATGTTTTATGATTTAATCTACATTATACAAAAAGGTAAAGGTATGACATCCCTGAAAAAGTTGTTTCTATTTTGGATTATCTATAAGTATAATACAATTCTGAGTCGAATCTGTGTATTAAATTTTTTTTTTTTAAATCTTCTTAAAATAGTCATTATTATCGATACAGAGGTCGAATCTATAGTTTTTAGAATTTTTGTCTGTCGGTTTGTCTGGAAACGCGTCACGAGAAAACCACTGGACAGTTTTTGTTGAAATTTGGTATGATGATAGGTGGTTATCCGGGTGAACATATAGGATACTTTTTACTCCGAGAAAATATCTCATCTCTGAGAAATCTATACTAACCGTTAAAACGTATCTAGGGAGTAGCTAGTAGGGTGAGTCGCTAGTACTTTATATGTTTACACAGGGTCATCTCTCGAAGTCAAATTTACATTTCAACGTACTCTAGATATAATAATAGTATACACTAGTTAAGCGAGTTGTTGATACTGTTTGCTTAGTACATGATTTTAGTTCTTATGCGACACAGTGTGTTATAAATGTACGTATAAAAAATAAAATGCGTGACTAATCTTCATATAAAATGATTACTGGAATAATAAAAGTTTGAAGCATCGGACGAGTAGCCATAAAAAGAATTATAATATTGGATGAAGGAACTTGCTTCCATCGCAACTGCTTTGCCTTATCAAAAAATAACTTTTAAAGCAAAATGCAGCTTTAAAAATAATACTAAATTTTAATAGATTACTCAGTTAATTCCTAATTATTTGAGACCTTATATATAACAAGTATCAAAATCATCGATCAACAATAGCCTACAAATTAAATCACCATACGACCTCCACATTTTATACTTTGTGTATTTCCTCAATTCTATTCTCTATCAAATCGAATTAAACTTTACCGTGTTGTGAATTAAGTGCTATTTTCTGTGAATTTATTTTTAGATTTGTTGCGTTGTAATATTACGCTAAGCGTAATGTAAGGAAAAAGTTGTAATTTCATAATACACTAAGGTTATATAGTTAACCGTGAACATTTTACAAGGTAAAGGATTTTAAATACGTCTGAAGTTCGTTCAGGAAATTTCCAAGCAATTAGATGTGAAGTCATCTTCTGCCCTTTTTACCGTCCCACTGCTGGGCACGGGCCTCCCTTTAATATGAGGAGGATCAGGCCTAGTCCACAACGCTGGCCAAGTACAGATTGGCAGACTGCACATGACTTTCTAAAACTTGTAAGTTTCTCTAAGATATGCAGGTTTCCTCACGATGTCCCTTTGCCGTTACACAGATGGTAATCATATTGTAAATGATTCGTACATGAAAATATCAGAGGTACGAGACTCGAGATTTGAGCTCGCTTTACTCGGTTTCCCAAACGAACGCGTTACCACTGGGCTACCGCTGCCTTCACTCATCTTCATTTTTTTTAAGCTCTCATTGATGGTGTTTGACTCAACAACACCTATTATTTCTAATTCTAAAAACGAATAAAAGTACTTAATGCAAGTTTTTATTCGCAAAAGTAAATGTCATGACACACAAGTTTTTTTTCCTGCAGGTAAGCGTTATAAATATATCACGTTACAACTGTAACGATAAATCAAAAAATAACGAGAATTATGAGTCAAGTGTTCACGGATGTAGTAAAACTGCACAGAAACGTATATTTGTGATAATACTAGTATTAAGGGGATAATCGTAATAGACTATTACCTCTAACGTATATACTCGTATGACATAAGTTGAGTAAGAAAGTAAGTGTTAATAGTGGTTTTACCGTAATCAGTAGAACCACACATCACATTCCCACGAGCGCAAGTGCCAAGAGAAAGTCAACAAAATATGCAAGTCGTGTTGCGCACTACGATTTTAACTCTACACAATATTGTCATTTATCATAGTGTTAGCTACAAATTGCATATTATTCCATTATTATATCCCATCCCATTAATATTATAAATGCTAAAGTGTGGATGGATGTTTGTTATTCAATCACACCAGAACGACTGAACGGATCTAGGTGAAATTCGGCACAGAGATAGATTATATTCTAAAATAGCAGAGAGCTTTTTATCCCGAAAAAAATACGGTTCCTGTGGGATAGATTTGTATTTGTTTTTCACTAAGTAGGAACTCGAAGTAAAGCGAGGGTGACTCTCTATTAATATTACAAATTCAAAAGTTTTTATGGTTGGTTTGTTACTCAATCACGCCAGAATGGCTAAACGGATCTGGGTGAAAATTGGCACAGAGATAGATTACAGTTTGAAATAGCACACTCGGAAAAACTTAAGGTTCCCGTGGGATACATTTGTTTTTGTTTTTCAATCATTAATGATGTGGATATTTAATTAGTTTTTTTCATTAATAATAATGGTTCCAAGCGTAGTAAAGTCAAAGTTTATAGCTAATCTTTATAAATTCGACATGACTAAGTTATGGATTTAGAAAGAATGATAATACAAATATTTTATTACTAGCGACTCACCCTGGCTTCGCTCGGGTTCGTCCCTAGGTACGTTTTATTTTTTTGAGCGGAACCCCATTTTTTTTTCTAAAATAAAAGTAGTCTATGTTACACACTATAACATGAGCTATCTTCCAGTGAAAGTCCAGTCAAAATCAGTCCAGCCGTTTCAGAGATTATCCGGGACAAACAAACAGACAGACAAAAATAAGAAAAAGTGTTTTTCTTATAAGTACCGTATATAATTTCATATGCATTTAGTAAAACGCTGTTATCTTGACATTACAAACAGACACTTCAATTTTATTTATCTGTATAGAAGCATAGATTTTATTAAATTTCAAATAAATTATTAAAGTAGTTCAGTGACTACCTTATTGCTTGTCTTATTTACCTACTTTATTGAAAAGCCCGACCTTGGGTAAGCTCAACCTGAATGTATATAGCCAAACGCCAAAAGCACTGACCATTGACCGCTATAGAAAGTAAACAACTATTTATCTACTGCATATGACCTTCAAGGCCTCGCTAGAAGAACAAGCAGAAACACACCTTACACGAAGTTTTAAATTATTCAAACATATAAGAGGAGTAAATCAAAAAACTGACATGGAACCTTGGAAACTAGACCTTATTCCTAGTGCTTAAAGCATATTATTGCAAAATTGGTCAGTTTCTGCAGCTATCGTATCTAAGTCAGGCAGTCCCCCCACGTCGTCACATAGTGAAAGTGAACGGTGACGTGAGGTACGCGGAAGCGTAACGTAGTAGCTAAGGTGAAGGCTCTACATTATTACTTTTTCTTAATAAGTATTGGCTGGATTTTTACTTTTTTCATATAATTGATTGCTTAATATAAAGAATAATTTAACTGAAATACAAGCTGATCTTAACTTGTGCTATACAAAGACGACCTGTTTAGAGAAAGCTACTTTCGAATACCGGTTAGCAAAATGATGCAGACCTAAAAGGTCAATGTTGAATACATAACAAAGGAATCCGCGAGGTCGCAGCGTCTCACAGTGGGTGACACCAGCTATTTCTGCTAACAAGTGCGTCGGGTGCTTGCGCAAGTCGTGTTCCAGATATTCTCGATTTCGGCAAGCCACGGTCACGGACACTCAGACTGTTTTGTTTTTGTTTGCCATTTTCAACCGACTTCAAAAAGGAGGAGGTTCTCAATTCGACTATGTTTTTTTTTATGTTTGTTACCTCGGAACTCCGTCATATTAACCGATTTGGACAATTTTTGTTTTGTTTGAAAGGGTATACTTCCAGATTGGTCCCATTTAAATTTCAAAAAAAAATACCACCCCTAAGGGTGGAAAAACAACTAATGATGAATTTAACCTACTTCTAATTGTCATATTGACTTGAAACTTTGCAAGTATTTCTATTTCCGTTGATAGTACAGTGGTTCGGTGTTGTTGACCTGATCTGATGGCAAGGCCAAAAGGTGGATAGAAGAAATTAATAAATATAAGAAAGTCGGTTTTTATTTTTTTGTTAAAAAGTTTTTATTTTTCCCTTTTTAGTGTAGACAGTAGTAGCAAAGTAAGGATTCTAACGTGTTAGGCTTGTCAAATCAAACAAAATAAGCTCAAACTCAAAGTATCTCCTATTAGCCGTTGAAGAGTTGCTTTGTATGGGCTGGCACCGATTTCGAAAATATTTGATTAGGTATGTATTTAATAAGTAGGCTTT